AATTATTGGGTGAGATTTTAGGTTTTCGTGGCGACAAATTATGAAGCTAACTGTCCTTGTTGGTTGTTGCGCGGTGTACTCTGGTAGATATTTACCGACGTTTCACAGGAATTTGTTGCCTCCATCATCAGGGTCATTACCTTGACTTTTACCACTACACTGCATAACATCACAGAAGACGATCATTTTAAAATATAACCATTTGCAACGTCAAACTAATTAATAATTAATGTTTTAATATAGGCTACGTATAAGATCGTGTCAATTATTCCGTCCATATACTGGTAATTTATTAACATCTTCTTCCATAAACTCATAGTCTCTCGGCTAATCAAGAAGTGTCTTGTTATTTATGGATGCTCTCCATAAACTCATAGTCTCTCGGTTAATGAAGAAGTGTCTTGTTATTTATGGATGCTGTAACTCATTGCTGATTTAAAAGACAATTTAAACGGAATTTTGGATGAACTACTACACATATCCTATAGTTGATTAAGCGGAATGTTGAGCAAACACTTTAAACTCATAATGAAAGGAGCAGTTTTATCAAAGGTACATAATACTGTGTCCATAATGACTATGGGCTTATATTTTGGAATTGAAAAGTGGGTTATGAGAGAAATTATAAAATGTGAATCGGAAACTGTAAGTACAAGATTTTTCAAATCACTTTTAGGAGTTAGTTAAGAAACAGATTATAACATTAAAACATAAGAACACACTACAAACTACTTTGGTACTTGAAAAATAAAAATAAATTAACATTTTAATTGTAGAATGCATGTTGATGGTATTAAGTAAAATAACATTCCTTCATAATATGATGCACATAGTTACACATGATCAAAAGGAAAATGTACTCTTGGAAAATATAGGAATAGATGGAATAATCAATCAGTCGAAACGTGTACCGAAGCGCCCAGCCCTTTGTAGTAGAAGAAGTCTGTAAGAGGTAAATTGTAATTTCTGTGCACTTCACGTATAAAACATTTCACTACCATGTTGTCGGCAAAATTTTCAGTCAATAAATAATTCAGACTGAAAACTGTACGTCTCTAGGAATTTTGTTTGAACAAAACCTAACCTAACCGCACACATCACGTCGAAATGCACTTCTTCTTAAATATTGACTACATTTGTTATAAAATAATATTAGCTAAAACTACCACTACATTTTAATTTTAACTAAAATGTACATTCATTTCTTTTTTAAAAAAAAAATAACGTCTATAAAAATAATCACTTTTTCAACTGTGATAATGGCATGTACAGAGTAATAAAAATAACTGAAAAGCCTTCAACTGTTTTAAAACACAATGGATCATTGTTAGCCACTAAAACGCGCTGATGTCGACGGTGAAAGAAAAGAATAAGAAGCAAAAAAGACACGACGTTAAATTTCCCTTTTGAAATGCCGAATTAATCCGTTACTAATAGGCAAATAATTTGGTACGTCAATTGCATTCAGCAGCGCTGTGTTTATTCAGTGAAACACTCATCACCGCCCATGTACAATAGATCTTTCTGGTACGGTAAATGTGACTTAAAGTGTTGGGTCAGATAAGATGATGCGGTGAAGGAGGAGAACATTTTATTGCCATGCTTTCTTCAAACTGCTTCGTTTCCGAAGAACAAGCGAACCCTTGCGTGAGGCCAGCCAACGCAAACTTTTAACCACAGACGCGGCTCAGTGGACGCAAACGTAAGCCACTCTGTTTCTGCCACGGGATGGACATCACCCCGCCTCGTTACAGAGTCCACCACCAGAGTGCCTGACTCGCCAGATCATATTTCCGTACATTTTAAAGAATCAAACGCTTAATAGGAGTAATTACAAGGACTCAGAAATTATTTACCGCAATTTCTGTTCTACTTGGTAATAATTTAAATTAATTACATTAGAAATTCAAAATTAATATGGATTTATAAATTACTATATAGTAGTATCCTCTATAAAACGGTACAAATGCATTTATATTCTCCGTCGAATAATGAGATCTTGAATGAGTACAGTTTTTTCTTTATAAGCCTATGTACCATCACGGTGTACTTTTTAGCCGCCTCAAAAACAGACTGAAAACAATATGCATGCACGCTTTATACGTTGGTATACATTTAAAAGGAAGTAGTCATTTAAAAGAAAGACTACCATTTTTTATTGTCCAGTTTAAATCCTTGGATTAATACATACAAAGATACAATATTTTGTTTTGCTGTGATGTTTTATGTAAATGCGAAAATGAAATTTTCGACCTGAGGGAATATTTAGAATAATTACGGAACAAATTAAGGTTGTTGTGTAAACAGTAATGAAAATTCAGGATACGTAAAAGGAGGACCAATTCTTAACCAGGTGAGTGAATATCAGTTTCTGAAGAAGACCTTTGTTCATGAAGTCCAATATCAACAGATACAACTCATTATTTGGACATCACAATAATATTTAGTGAAGAGTACAAATTATATAATATTCTCCTACCTCTGCTATTGCTTCCTTCGTTTTTGGTTTCAAAAATTCTCATCAGCAATCTGTTCTAGAATATCATCAAACTATGATTTACGCCCATATGAAACAAGTAAAATTGTCATTGTATATTTGAATCCTCACTTTGCAGACTCTGAAATGCGTGGTAACAAGCATTCCCCAAACTCAGTTTCCTCTAATTTCTCTTCGTGAATGTAATTTTGATTTGATACTATCGTTTCAAAATTTCTAAATGTTACCACATTTTACATGAATCCATCAATTTTATTATATTAATATTTTGTCCTGCTGTGCAATTAGTTTACTCTGCCTTAATTTCTAGGGCAAACTCCTTATTAGAGTTTCCTAATCTCTACGTTTTCAAACACCTTCAATGAATATTTAATATCCTAGACTCTAGGACCTAGAGAACACGACGGAGTTAGAGGATATATCATCGTGAGTGTCCGAATAGTATAACACATAGTACCCGGGGTCAAACATTTTGGTTTCCCCTGTCAAATGTGTGTGCTAGGCTCCATCCCAAATATTTAGTTAGCTAAACTCCGGGCGACCGTTGTCACACCGCCCTCAGTCGGCGACGTCGGTATTTGCAACGTACCAACTGATCTTACCCCACCCCGTGCGGCTAACCGTTCAAATATTTAGTTAGTTAGATGCTTTCTAAACATCTCAGTGTCTTCGACTCGAATCGAGGAATCGATTCCTATCAACTTTCCTACGAGAAATGCCGTTTCTCGTTTTAAAGGCATTACGCCAGAAGGGAGTTTCATCGTATTTTATATAACTAGAGGTAGTTAATCTAACAACATAAAATAGTGGAATGTATGTCATGCCAGAAGCACATAATGCTAATGCTGCTCTACACAGAGATACAGATAGTTACATTTGGGCGTATGGACAATAATAATTAATATTTATAAAAAATTAGCGTAAAATTTCAATATTGTCTAAATCAGCCCTTTTGTTGATACACCCTTCGGGGACAATGCCTTGATATTATTATTATTAGTCTGACTGTTGCTGATTGTTCAAGAAGTTGCAATATCAGATCGATATTGTCTGTATTTCGATAGTTTTAATCATATGTGTTTTACTAGCAATGGATTTATAGCTACTTGTGATAGGAATTTGAACCAATAAGGAAAACGAGATAAATAAACTTAGACTTGTCCATACTTAAGTGTTTACTATAACAGTTTCATGTCATCCCATCTAGTAGCTAAAATACTAAAAATTAAAAATGTAAACTATAATTTTAGCTGTCTTATATGAGTGTCAATTTCTGCCGACGGAGGATTAGAGTTACCACTGTGAAAACCTTAAATATCACTTAGTGTATCTCCTGCATTAATTAAGCTGGTAACAATTTTAAATGAAATGTCACGTATTTTCAATTAATCGTCCTCATACACAACCCGTCAACCCTCGAGTTGACAAGAAAGTCTAGAAGTGGTCCAACGTCTTAACGCTCGAAAACGTTTGGTATAGACCAATTTTTATATATTTCAGATAAAAATTGAATATTTAGTTCGGTGAGCAAAATTTTTATAACGTTTCATTCCCTGACGATAACACCTAATATGTGACACTAGTTTATAATAACAGTGTCAATTCAGAGAATAGCAATATCTACTATCATCGGTATTTAACAATGCTTTATCAATCTCAGAGATTATTTATCGTAAAATAATATGGTACATGTTAATATTACCACGTTCGTTGAATTAGACAGGATTAAAAACACTAAGTGCAGCCTATTTGTAGATATTTTCTTATCATAGAATGACTGAGAATAATCACAAAGAAACTCACGAGCTAACACTTGAATATACTTTCTTGGCAGTAGTGGTATTATTGATAATAATACCAGCAATAGGCCTAACAATTTATAATAAAAATAAAATAATAATAATTCAAAAGAGATCGAGCCATTCCAAATAACAAACCAGATATTATAATCAGAAAAAACTGGAACTTGCCTCCTAATTGATATAGCAATACCAACTGAAAAGAATGTAATTAAGAAGGAAGCGGAGAAGATCTTCAAATACAAGGACCTTCTCATAGAAATACAGAGAATGTGGAAAGAAAAGCACAAGTAATCCCAATAATTATAGGAGCAACTGGAACTGTCTCCAAGTCACTCAGAAAATATTTGGCCAACATCCCGGGCGAACACGACAACTGCCATTTTAGGATCTTCATACATCATTCGAAAGACGCTGTCGTAACATTTATAGTCATACCTCACAATAAAACTATATAATACATGTAATAGATATTAAAAACGAAATGTATTTCGGAAATAGCTGCTGCACTATGTACCTCAGAGGCAAGGTTTGTCTTAGGTACGTAGAAGTAAATACCCTATAAATTGGTGGATAGATGGAATAATAATAATGGATTATCTGCCTAATTTTAGAGCTCACAGTAACCATGATGAAAATAACAGTATAAGTAACGTCCTTGTGTTTGTTGCTTGCAGCCCCCGTGTCACCTAGACCCAACTTACCTTCTAGAAGTTTTCCGACGGCCTCGTCCAAGGGTACGGTCTCCTTATCGATAGTCGCAACGTCAGAGTTCGTGCTTGTTGGCGGGGATCCACCCGAGTCGGGCGCCGCCGAATTCTTATACATAGCTGCCCAGGAACACTGCACTTCAAAACTCAAAACGTCTTCCTACACTTTATACTTGTTCACTGTCGAATTATTTTTTCATTTCTAGTTTTGTATGTTTCGACTCTCTTTCTATGCGAAACTTGAAGATCTTGTTGAAAAAATCTGACATCCCCATAGCTGGTAGTAAACCTGTAAAGATAACGGAATGATGGTTAATGCATACATTTATTTCGTGTAATATATTTAGGTGTATAAATTAATATGTAACTTCTGAAGTATAAAATTAATTACGTGTGAGTTACGTAACGGACCAGTTAATGTGTTCTTAGATATGGAATTAAATATATATGATACAGATAAATAGATACTTTGCTAGATACACAGTTAATTAGTTGGACAGTGGGTCAGATAGGTGTACACAGATAATTAGTGATGAATGTCGCCCCGACCGGGATGCAACACGCGCATTTCCTCAGGAAGGCAAAAATTACTAATGGTTGATTCCAACACAAAATAGCAAAACTGTACACATATTTAGAACTATATAATAACGTAACTTGTTCGTTTATGATATTTTAAGTAGAAAGTTTTATCAGAATTTATTATTTTTCTGATTTATTTTTGTTACTGTTGTTCCTAGATCTTTAATTTTTTTTAAAATGTTGTAAAATATACAATAAATAATTTAAATACTATCATCAATATAAATTGTTGCCGATGTAATAATCACAGAAGGGTGTATAATAAAATAAATGTAACATGTAATTTCCAACGCTTGTTAGTGCTGGGTGATAGGAAAAAAGGCTTTTGCAGACAGCATGAAGCCTTTGTGGTACAGACGCGTGAACAAGACCATTGTTTGTTCAGGTCTGCCTACTGAATCCGAAAACACATCTCACGTCATCGAGCAAAGCCGCTTATACAGCAGAGCAGCGGCACACAACAGAAAGAACTACGTTTTCAACTCCACGTTTGCAGGAACACATCTCAACACCAGTAGAGTTCCTCTTGAGAAGCTGATAGTTGTTCGGCCGGCCAAGAAATTAATCTCCTCTTACGGAATTCGAAGGTTCATTGCCGTGTCCACAAGATCCCGCCACTGTGCCCTATCATGCGACGCTTGAAAACAGTCCACATCCTTCTTCTTTAAAATCTGTTTTAATATTATCTTCCTTTCTTGTCTATAGTCTCTATCCTTTAAATTTTTCCTTCTCAAACTTTCTTCGCATTCGTCATTTCTCCCATGCATGTAGCTACTCATAACCATTTCATACTCCTTGATTTCATTGCCTTTTTAATATTTGATGAAAAATACAATTTTTGAAGCTCCTCAGTTTTCTCCAGTCTTCTGTCATCCATCTTGGGCCTAAGTATTCTAAGTTTCAGTAGTCTAACACGTCATCAAACACTCTCAAACTGTGTTCCTCCCTTAATATAAGAGGCCAGCTTTGATACTCATACAAAGATAGACAAATTTATAATTTTATATATGATATCAACCTTTTGAAGCCTAGTGGTGACTTGATGATCCACCTGCTTCAACTGTCGATACCTGCGTTTTTAATTGTGGATTTCGTGCGATTCTCAGAACAAACAGCGATTATTTCCATGAACAGCAAAGACAAGTTGATTGTAATGACGAAGTGTTGTGTTTTATTTGCGGTACGGGTTGAATTATTAAATATTATTTAGACAAAATTAAAGGGTTGATCTATGCGTCGTTTCCACACATGAGACTAAAAGATAAAAGATTAATGTCAATAGCAGTAAACATTTCCCGATTGTAAACTAATGCTCTTACCTGCTTCTATCAAATTTTTGTATGTTTTGACTTTGTCACTTTTCCACAAAGGATTTTATTATTATATTATAACATTTATTTGTTTTTATTTATATTCCTTCATTTATTTTTTTTTGTGTAGAAATTTGTTTCTTTTTTGGGTTTACCTGTAATTGGCTGTTATATTTAATACTGTACATGTATAAGTTCAATTAATCTCTTTTTGTAATATTTTTCTTTATTATTTCATTATTATTTTATATTTATCAGTGTTTGCCTGCTATTGGTTTCTTGCTGTTGGCAAACACGTAAATAAATAAATTAATTGAATTGAATTGAATTAAAAGAACAGCCTGATTTGCAGTTTTATAGCCTATTAAAAACGAATAAACGAATCTCAAGACACGAGCATCAAACTCTTAAGAACGTAGTTAATTTAATTTACGTTTATCAATTATCTTCAATGAAGCATACTGTTATAAAGACCACTCGGTTTATGATTCTTTACGAAAATAATCGCTGATTGTTATACTTTATTTGCACGAAGTTCATAAAGTGAACGCATATACGAGAAAATCTATTCTCCTGTCACATCTGTAAGACTATAGAAATAATTTTTATATTCATATTGTGTATCTACTCTAAAATTTGCATGTAAAATTCAATTTTTGATTCAATATAGTTCGTACTTAACTTAGAATTCAAATTTCGCTCTATAAATTTATCTTAAAAACGGTTAAAAGTAAAATAATTACTGCATATACAAATATTATTAATATCTACATCTTTAATTTTAAATATTTATCGGTGTATTAAATATCCAACAAATTATAAATAAAATATTTTTCACAATAACAGGACATTTAAACTTCCAGACACTTTAAAATGTGCTTATCTGTATACAATTTATTACATCTAGGTTCCAACAACTGAATAATGTGTCAGCCATATACAATAAATCTATTCTATTGTCCAAGTAGTTCCTTGGATTTTTACACCTTGTTGACTGTCAACATGGCGTCACAACCCAAATGAACAAACACTGACATCTTCTGCGCCGCGAGAACATTATACCTAATTTATTCTATTTATTACTACCTTAATGCCATATGATGTCTTGTAAATATCAAACACAAGGAGTAGTCTACAATTTAAAACGAAACTCAAGAAAAGTTACATACTACGTTACAACAAGTACATCAGACTCTACCAACCAACCTCTAACGTCACACTAAAGTCAAGGTCACCCTTGTTACTAGGCCGCTGCTCAAGCAATGGCGCATAAGCTGTGGAGGTGGTAACACTGTTTATTCTCTAGAAAGTCGTGAGTTCATTCTCGAACATTACTTCATATCGAAATCGTTTGCATTTGAGCAGTGCGTATTTTGATAAAGAAGTACCAAATACGACACTGATTGATAAAATTTCGATGGACGCTTTTCTTTGAAAAGGCGGAGGGAAATTTTTAGCATCTGCTGTACAGGTGTTCTGTAATTTATTTCTTATAAATAAAATATAAAACAACAACTTATTTGTCTTATTATAATCATGTCACCAAAGCTTTAAAATATTGTTGTAGTTGGCGTTGCGTTTTATATAAAACATCACGTACTTGTTATTCAGGCATATGAACATAAAAGCCAATTCTGTTAGTAAAACTGCTTGGAAAATGTGTGTATGTCTGCTCCATTCAATTTCGTCTGAAAACCGTAACAGGCTCTTGAGTACAATGGCGGAAATAGATTATAATGTGATTAAAATTAGGCGTATATTCTGAAACTCTAAAATATGACGATCATTACAATATTGGCATTCGGGACGGAAGTCTCGACAGTAACTTTAAAGGTTTAAGGAAACAAAGGTCCAGTGAACGCCAAAGGATTGTGGATGGCCATTGCCTTTCTCATCACTGACGGATATTCTATTCATCGATATAGTAAATTCTGGGGAGGGGGCACCCTGGACCAGTTCTTAACGTATAATACACGCTTTACAGATAAATATTATGAGAAATGGCTCACAGGATTTGGAGGATAATAAAAAATAGGAAAAGGACAATGGATTTATCGAACTCCATGATACTGGGATACTAGGAACGACCGGTTATTCAAGTGCCTGAGCACTGCGGGTCCCAACTTTTCGTTGGCTTGATCTATAGACATTCGGTAGGACTCCTTGGACGAGGAACTCCATGATACATTGGTTTTATCAAAAATGTAACATCTTATAAACTGGTCAAGAAATTCCTAGTCTTTTATCGAAACCGAAGCTTCAATACCGTGTTTGCAACGTCCCGAATCCTATCCTGAGCCAGATTAATCCAGTCTACGCCATCAGATTCTATTCCTGTAACATTTATTGTAACAGTTCTTTTTCCATATAAGCACAGCGCCTATCTCATATCGACATTATCACCTGAGTCCCTGTTAGCAGAATCCACAGGTCGAACACCGACAACACCAAAGCCCGCAACCGGCCACGATCCTGAGCCAACGCCATCCATTTACAATCCTCCCATCTCCTTCTTCGTCTGTCCAGTGGTCTTTTTCAAGAAGAATTCCCTACCAAAATCCTGTATGCACCCCTTGCCTCCCCATGGGTGCTACATGTCCAGCCCATCGGACCCTCCCAGATTTCACCATCCTCACTGTGCTAGGTAACCCGTACAATTCACGTAGCTCTTCGTTTTGCAGTATTCTAAATTACCCACTTATTTCATCCCTCCTAGGTCAAAATATCATTCCGAGGTTTCCAGGTACAGGGCGAATACATTTCATGTAGTCTCATCATTAGCAGACTGTCGATGGAACGCTCTGGTTTCAGAATGTACAATAGCCGGGACCAAACCGTGCGGTTTACCTACGTCACTAGCTTGTGGATAGAAGGACAACAAATACATACACTATGTAAACCAAACACATAACCGACAAAGGGAATGAGACAGCGAGCTACAAAGTACCGCCGCTGGGAAATAATTTTTATAGCGTGGACAGTGTATGCTAATTTATCTACTGCCCCTCCCACCCCCAGATCCCCTTGCCTGTTACTACTAATGGACGTCGAGCGCACAGTTTCTGCCAAATATATCCAAATCCTATTCAGTCATTGTTGATAAATTATTATTGAATTAATTACTGAATATTTGGTCTACATCAAGGTGGTGGAATTCCTTGACCAGCTAAACAATTATCATCTCCTCCGTGGAGTTAGTTTTTAACACTCCTGACTGTAGCTACTAACTAACAAAATCAGACACCTATGAACGTAAATAACCAGCAATACGAAAACTAACTACATTATACGGAATCTTGCTCCAACAACCAGCAATAATTCAGCTGGTCAAGGAATTCCATATTTTTATGGGCTATGAACGATCATTGTATTCACAGAAGCCCATTACAGGACTAGT